AATGTTGTGTGAAAGACGAGATGGCTGTGAAGGAATCGGGCTTGGAGTTGGTTGCAGGACTTGAAGATGAGGTGGAGCTGACCTTTTCAGGGAAGATGGACAGATTTAGCCATTTATGGTAGGCGCTGTTTTGCTATTGCTATCGTTCTGTCCTATTACAGTTATGATTTCCCTAAAGCCTTAATGGAAGCAGTGAGTGATCGGCGTTTGACATGTTGTACCGCGCTGTCATGAATGTATCGGCTGGGTTCCTGTTTGTAGCCATTGTCAATTTGAAAGCAGATTTAGTGTTGACGTTCGGAAGGACTGGTGACCTGGTCGTAGAACTGCATGCTTGCCTGTATATGTCAACATATCACGGCCAAATCCTTCTTTTATGCATGCAGGAGATGAGTGCAGTGGACTACACTGTCGTGTTCGCGAGGTAGGACATATGGGTTGTAGAATGAGGATGAGGCGATGTCTGCTCCTAAAACGGATGCGTCTTCATTGCTGTCTGGTGAAGGACACAAGGATGATTGGAGCGACAAGGCGACGTCTTCGTCACCAGAAAGCATTCTTATGGTGTGTAGGCAATCGATGTCTACAAGGAGCGCATTGCTTATGAGATTTGTGCCTTGACTGCAGTTTAATGACTTGTTATGGCTTGTTTTCCTGGAGAAGATGTAACAGCATTTGTTAATGCTCCTCAACATTTGCGGCTCTTTCTGAGTTCTAGTGGCTGCTTGAATCCAAAGTAAGTGGCAAGAGTCCGTCGCATGTCTCGGTCATCGTGTAAGGATGTCTACTGAGAAATCACCTGGTAGATGAGATGTTGCGACTCTTTTCGTGCGCAGGACTGAGTACCTGCGTTGATGCGTCTCTGTGGCCCTTCGTTGGCTTGTTGATTTTACACACAATTAGGTCAAAACTGAGTATTCTATCTCTACCGCCTATTTCGGTGCTAATGTTGTCTGACCGCGTAGGCGGTAAGGGTGAAAAGCGGCGACCACTTTCACTGGTGCTGGTGTGCGGAATGGCTGGCTTGAGTGCCAAAGCCTCAATTAGCAGCCAGCACCAGTTGCCAGAATGTGGGACTCTGGTGATTGGATGGAGCAAATGCTGTTAGACCTGACAAGCATGGATTGATAGACACGCGTTGAAATGGAGTGGGAGTAGGCATCGGTGTGGGTCATCTGCTTTTAATAACTTAGGCATGGAAACCACGACAGTTCTATCTCCAAGGCAAGAGCACGGCGGCTATATTTGCATTGCCCTATTCGAAGCAGTAGCTACACGCATGAACAACCCAGACGACCTTTGTGCTCAGCTTACCCTTGTCACCTATAACAAGAAATCAACTTGTAGGACAACTGGTTAATTGCGCAAATGCATTCGTATCGCAAGGTGTTAGTTTAGGTGGAACAAGGTGCGGTGGAAGCGAGGGTCGGCGAGGGGGGAAAGACAGGAAGTTCACCATGGACCTCGTCAATTCCTCTACTTGTTTAGTGAGAGCTTCACTATCTGCCGTCCAGCATGATGCAAGTGTTTGACCGAGCATTAAATAAATAGTAATATTTTGAGCCTTCATTCACCCGATTACAAAGGCGGTAGAGAAGGAATAAGTTGGCTCACGAACTGCTGAAGCACTTTTAAATGACATCTTTTTGTCAAGAAAATGTAATGACTTGATGCAAGCGGTGACTCTCCTTTCATTTATCGTGTCCATTTTCTGTCGCCTCGGGACATTTGAAACAATGCTGTCAGAAAAATTCAATCCTTTGTAATTTGTAACAACGGGAATTGGGTATTAGTGGCATAACCCGTGACGGACTGCATGATTAAAAACACTTTAGGGGAAGAATAGTCCCGTATTCGCTGTTCAAGAAATCACATTGATCAAAATATTCTCTAATTAACCCTTCTAATCTCAACAATTGTAAGCCTTACTCTGGGAGTCTAGAAGAGACTTTATTGCTCCCATGAATCATTTTGTCATTTATAAGAAAGCAAATTTCTAATGCTTCTCATCATGCAATGATTGGCAGAGCAACTGCAACAAAGCATGAGGTGTGCGCGATTAATGGGTTTAGGTGCGAGACCTCAAAATGTTGCCATTCAGCCCACAAAGTTGGTGTTTTGATATCTTTCCTCTGGATTAAACTCGGCTTTCTGCACCCACCTGTCAGTAGGTGGTGGAGGAGCAGATGGCGGGCGCAAAAGTGTTCAGCAGCTGGCGGCAGCGTCGGTTACGGAATCATCGATTTATTGATTTATGGGGAATTGATTTGCTACATGACGTTAGACTTTTGCGCGCGCTCGCTCGCTAGCTTCCAGTTAACATCAGCGGTGTTTCGCGTGCTGTAAGACGACGTTTGGAGCTGAGAATTCGGGGTCACTTCATTACTCCACACGCACATCTTGACGCTTCAGTTAGCACTCCACGGAAGCGCGTCACTTTACCAAGGCAAATGGTTGACAGTAGTTCCCTTTTCAGCGAGATAATGATCACTGGTCCACATGTGACGCATAAATGTGCAGCAAAATCGCCTTTATTTATGGCCGATAAATTCAGATGTAAATGAAAAACAAGGTTGTGGCGCAGACCTAGGTCGATCTCTGCACCTGCCGCGTAGGGGAGAGCGGCAGTGAGGCCTCTTCTCTTGGATGAGGACAATTGTGTGCGGTTGGCAGTTGTCCACAATCTCCGAAGCCCCCAACAACAGTGTTGACCATTTCATCGTCCAAGCTGAAGGATGGGATTGTGGTGTCACTGCTGGTTGCATTGTGTCGAAAAGCAGAAGGCAGCTTATCTACCTAGCACCCTCCCCATCCCTGCCGCGAAGGCAGTCATTCGTGCACGCGCGCATTTATTTGCCAGAAGTGGAGAGACCCATTTGTCAACTTGGTGGTTGCCCTGGCGTCTACTGATTCGCTTCGTCGTTCCCCGTGGAGGCAGTTTGGTGTCTCTAGTCACTGGTAGGGCGTTATGTCGCCGCGTTTTCGTCATTGGGAGTGCGTGGCACTGTGGACGGAGCGCAGTGAAATGATTGTCAAGTACTTCAAAGTTAACAGCGTCTTCTGGCACGTAGGGTAATGCAGGAAGGTACATCAAACGGTTTCTGAATTAACCTTTCTGCTGTCTATGAAGGCTGCTGCTCTTATTGATGTGAATTAAAGAGTCTCGCTTTTAATCTCTATTTTGATTTGTGGCATTAATATATCCCACCTGAACTCCTTGTTTCTGCTGGTGTTCAGCTGGCATCATGAAATACCATGGATTCGGTAAATCAGCCAGAGATTTCAATTGACGCTTGCCCGCACTTGGTCATTTTACATTCTACCCCAATTTAGTTGTGTACATAGTCAAGAGGGAATGAGTTCCTTGTGGAAGCACTTATTGTTTGAAGGAAGTAGCGATATCTTGGTAGTAGTTTGAACTGAATAAAAATGGGGGGATCTTATGTGTAAGTAGTGGCAGTAAACAACAAAAACTAAGAAAGAGAAATGAATATCAGTTCATTTTGTTTTATAGCCCACCAAATACTCTGCCCCTTGTCGACTGCCTGAATGCTGCGTTGTTGTCACAAAGCTCTAATAGCATCGACTCCCTCTTCGATGTCTGAATGTGTCCCAGACCTTGACCGCAAGACTCGTGTAAGCAAAGCTTCCATTTCCAACATGCTGTTCTTGGAAGTACTACCGATGCACCACCATTTGCCATTAAGAAATGACTTGGAAATACGACTCCGAGACTCTGCTGAACAACCGACTGTCTACAAGATGGTGATTTAGGGACCACACGAGTCCTGTACTTACACGTCAGCATCGGTAGTGCAGAGGCAAGTAAACAAGTCCATATCTTCGCTACATGAAATTTACCACTTCATCTCCAGCTAAAAGCATTTTTGAGGAAGTGATTTTTGAATGAATGGATGGATGGATGGATACGGCATGAATGGATATGTGATGGATTGACGTGTAAGGTGTGATTAGATGGCAGAGTGGAAGGACAGACGCATAGATACGGATTTGATGGAGATAGACATAGGTGATGAAATGACTAAAAGAGGGATCCAAGGTGATGTAGATGGGTTTTGTTAACGTGAATTCGATGATCTAATAGACGGACTGACCTGTAGTAAGAAGGATATGACTGACTCCCAAATAAATGGATTGATCTTCGACAGATGAAGACGTGAGGGAAAGTGTGAGGGACTGGACGGTGTTTGGATAGTTGCCTGATGCCTGATAGTTGGTGGTTCCAAGGCGAATGAATAGACCATCATTGTCTTCGTATTTCATCCCCCCCAACAACATCTAGTTGTCACTCATCGTCAATTGATGACGAACGCAGAGTCGCGTGTTTGAAACTCTCAATTAGTTTAGTCAGTTTTACTCCCTGTCATATGTCATTGGCAGTGAATTCATCGTCCATTCTTTTGCACACTTTTTGCGAATTACTGTACATAACCTCCGAGACAACGACCGTTTTTCTAAAGAGTCTAAACTGAGAAGCTCCACTAAGTCCTACATCCAGGTCACGAAAATCGCAACGGTACTCAAAATGCACCAAAACGTTTTACTTAGCCCCTCATCTCCTTAAGTTCAAAATACCCTTCGTCACTCACAAATGGTAAATGAATCCGATCCGGTAGGGAGCAATTTGTCCCCTATTAAGTGGGCTTTTATCTGTGTTCCGGATATCACGAACGGGAATGCGAGAAGGGCAGAAAGGTACATACTGAGAAGAAGGAGTAGAATGGGATCAGGATAGGTGTACGAGTTGGTGTTCTCCTGAAGGCTATGCAGAACTGTTTGAAGTGCGTCTTATATTTTACGAGATGTGGCACATGACTAGGGTGTTCACCCTATTCGAGGAGAAGTTGCTGGCAGACATGGCCAGCCACTTGACTAGAACATGACGCGATAATATGGATCTCATTTCCGTTGTTTTTTCCAATTTATTAGGCGGCTTCCTGATATTAGATGTGCGATGGGGTTAGGTGAGGCTGCATTCTTTGTTTCAGATCCGTGCCCGCCATTCAAGCTGGATAGACGTTACCCTAACGTCATTTTAGTTCCTCGTACGTCCTCTGTCGAAGTTATTGTCCTCTTGACGTCGGCATTATCCACAATCCTGAACAGCTCCTGTGAAGAGTGTGCTGTACTGCAGGAAAACACATTCACACTGCATGACACTACATGGACATTCAGCTGGCAATATCCATACAAATTTCAATTTTTAATGGAGTGCTCAACTGGTTTGCAAGTGGTCTTATTTGTATGCGCTGGTGTTGCACGATATTGGTGGTAAAGAGAGAGCAAGGGAAATGGTGCGGTAGAAGAAGCACCAAACCTTTCCCCTCCGTGTCACCGGTGTAAAGATTAAACCATCGGATTCTGCAAGGCCCCCCATTCCAAACTCCCCTTCGTTTAACTATGCATCCGTCTCTTACATGGCCTTCCTTCCTTTTCTTTTTTCTTCGTTTCCCAGCACAAACATCTGCAAACCAACCAGACTGGGAGCAGATTGTGCAGTGGGTCAAATGAGTTCAGGTACGGAGGTCCTTCTTTACTACCTTGATGGCAGGTGACTTATGCATGGTGGCAATGGCAGGGGGCGACGTGTGAAGACGCAATCTGTAATGCCCTGTCGGAGGCTCCATTTTGCTTCCAACAGGCAGACACCGCACCCGCTGCATTCTCGGTGACGTGTTCTGTCCTCTTTCCCTTCTCCCTCCCATCCGTCTTCTTCCTGTCCTTTCTTTCCAGGCGCCAATCTTACGCGGCACTACGACTGCGCATCATGCTCGATGGCATCGGTCCATTTGGTAATGAAGGGAAGCAACCTGCCCAACATTCTAACATGGATACGCGCAAAAATTGTGGCTTTCATTTGTCTTGACACCTTGCAGGTAATCAGTTAGCATTAAATCCGGTGGGTATGACGGATGATAGGTTGTGCAGATTTTGAGACAGAAGTAAACATCGACAATCTGGTCTGAATTTGTCACGTCACTCCACGCGTTTCATTCGTCTTTGAAGAATAGAAATGGAACCACATAGTAGGATCCGATGAATGATCTTAGTTGATCTCCACGAGAAAGTCCGTTTGATCACACCTGTGGTGAGTTTTCTCCGGATGCCCTGAACTGATCAAAGCGTCCACCATGGCCTAACGTGGCTCCATTGCCACTCAGTACGTGCTGAGGGCACGTAGCTCTTGCAGAAACGCTCCCTTTTGTTTGAGTAGTATCATCACAGGCTGATAATGTGTCAAGTGAACATCCCACTTGGCAGCCAGTAGCCTTACCGACGGAGCTGAGATGAGTCACATGTCCTTGAAGCACATACACCACGGGTTCAAATTTCATGCCTGCATTGACGAGATTGCACCTTCATCACTCCACGTTACTGCGTGCACCCACCCACCATCATTGTTGTCCGCCCGCCATTCTGTCGAACAGTTCTTGACACGGTCTAATTCACAACGTATAGCGATGCCACTGCAGCGTCAGCCAACCTCCTCCTTCCCAGATGAGATTCAACATCCCACGTATATAATTCGCCTACTCGTACGTACTTGCGTCTGAAAGATATAACGGAGTAACTACGATTTTACCTGCTTACCTTTCTTGCATCTACGAGATGATGCATGTTATCACCTCAGTCGATTTCTTCTCAGTCCTTTTCAAGGCGCGCGTACGTGTCCCTTGGGTCTGTCGACAATTCCGCTTTCGATGGCAACGAACAGGAGGTTGGCTTGGTCTTGAACATCGCTTATTCGGTCGTATCTGTGGAATCTTCATGGAGGACACTTTGAAACAGTCTTTACCTAAATTGGGTTTCACTGTCGAATCCGCAGATCTGTGCCACTGCCGCGTAGGGGAGAGCGGGATTGAGGCCTCTTCGCTTGGGTGATGATGATGATTATGTAGAGTTGGTGGTTGGCCAGAATCTCCGATGTCGCCAACAACTGTGTTGACTATTTCGTCATTCAAGCTGAAGGATGGGATTGTGGTGGCATTGCTGGTCGCATTGTGTCGGAAACGAGGAGGTAGCTTATC